AGATATGCAATGTTAGTCCAGACCTCCGGATCAGAAATATCTGCTGATAGGATCCAGGGTGCAAATTGATATACTTCATTCCAAAATTTTGAGCTTTCTTTTTGGGAAATCTTAAGTCCTCTTGATTTAAGTAAGGCTTTAAGGGAGCGAATTTGGAGTTTTTTCTGGCGTGATGCTGAATTACCCATTATAAAAGGAAAATAGTGTTGTCTAGCATTTAATGTTCTCGGAGCAGTCTGACACCAGGGGATTGGAACGCTCTGACAGGCACAAGCCTGGCTGCAGAGTTAAAGTCTACAGAAAAAAAAATGGCCTTTTAAAATCTTTTGTTCATTTGTTTATACGGTGCGGGCCACCTTGAACTTTCAAGTGCTCCACAGGGGCTAGTTAATTTAAATTCTCACTTAACTGGTTTTAGCTGTGGTTTGAGTACCCTGGGGGCAGGATAACAAAACCAATTAGGATAGTTTATTTTAGAAGCTGACTTTAAGGCTTATGTGAAGATCCCTTAGAACTTTGGGGATTTTTCTAGCAGTGCTGAGATAGAAAAGTAGGGTGAAGTGATGGTTCCTAAGGGAACGTGCCTGAGATCAAAATCTCAGGTGATTCCACTTAGCCCCCAACACAAGCCTTCCCGCAAGTTTAAGAGACTGGCAGCCATCCTAAGGACTCTTAAGTGGCTGCTGCGTTACCAGGTTCTTATATTAGAAAGACGCATAGATAGAAGGTCTTTTGTCTACACCTGTGTAGGCCGTCGGAGTCTGTTAAGGGGGCAAAGAGGCCTTCAGCTGACATCAGGAGTAGCCCTGACCAGAAAGCTTCAGTTGCTTCTCTGTCTTTAATGTTCTCACGCGAAGACTAGAGACTGAAAATAAAAGGAGGAAAATAGAAGAGACTGCCAGGCCCCAAAAGTGGGGTGGCTTGGAGGCACAGCTGCCTTTTATCTCCTGATGGGAGACAAAGGAAAAAGAGATTTCTGATGCTCTCCTGGTGGGAGAGGTACTCATGAATTCTGCGTTTCAGGGGGCGCCAGCTGCTGGCTGGCGCAGAGTTCGGAGGCTCTCACGTTGGGCGCCAGCTGTTGCTGGGGTGCGCGGATTTCACGCACCGCGTTGCTGTGCAGGTCCCTGGCTCTACGCAGCTACCGGATGCTGGCGACTCTGCGGGTCGCTGTCAGGTGCCGGGCGGGTTCTGTTCCAAGCTGCCGGACGCTCCCTCTCTCTACGCGATCCGTTGGCCACCGGATCAAGAGGGGAGGTGCAGGAATGGCAAAAGCAAGATCTTCGCGAGTGGTTGTTGATGGAAGGATAGCCCCCTCCGGGGAGACTGAATCGTAAGCAGTAAGACACAGGATACAGCTCAATCAGACTCAGTGATACAGCTCTGCTTTATTGGGGTGAAACCAGAAGATTTATAATGTGGAGGCAGTAGCAAAAGCCTTAGCTGATAGGTGCTCGTGGGATGCCCCATTTACATGTGGTGGTGGGCTTCTATCAGGCTGTCAGACAGTGCCTGATTATAACACAGGAAAAACCTGGCAGTTTCTGTGCCAGAGGACATGTATCTGTGACGGGCACTTCAAAGGTGAGTCAGGAAGAGAGTAGGAAGGGGCCCCGCTGAGAAAGGGAGTCTCTGCATAAGAAGGCCAAGCCAGCTTGTGGCTATCCAGACATGTTGAGACTACGACCTAAAACAGCAGGGGTCCCCAACACCCGCCTGTACGCTGGTTGTCATGATGATGGAGGTTTCCATCCTTGACTGAGGTGTCTCAGCCGTGCCTGAAGTGTCGATCTACATGTGGGTACGCCTCTCGGCATCTGTGTGGACATTTCACGGACATGTGTTCACCGACCTGCCTGACCCCACTGCCGGGGAATCCAATGAGCGTGGGGGAGACCTCCCATTGGAGTCTGGCAGGCTGAGGCCAGGAGGTCTCCCAGGCTAGAAGGTCCCCTTATTCGGCCAGCTAGTTCAGCAGGCGGATCATGTGTGCCGTCAGCACCGGTATCAGGTAGTGACACCTATCCTTGCTCCCCTGCATTGACCACCCACAGGCACGTCTTCCCTCTCCTGCCATCAATCTAAGTTTCAGCTGCAGGGGTTTTTGTCCAAACAGTCCCCTTCCCCATGCTCTTGGATATTTTTTTGCCCAACCCAGTGAGGGAGTAGAGGCCTCGGCGTGCCCTCCAGGCCTCTCTCAGCACACATCCCAATAGCCGGTGATCTCGGGCCTTGCTCTATTGTCCCTTTGCCCTGGGGGCCACACGTGGTAATGTTGGCTGCTGCAAGCTTCCTCGGAGATTGGGAATGATAGCACAGTGATTCTTAGGTTATCGGAATTCTGCAGGCAAGCCTGAGCAGGTACCCTTTTGAAGAAAGTTGACAGTTGCACCCAGTACAGGACAGAGGTCTCTCAGGAGAGATCAGCAGGATTTTCCTGAGCCGAGGGAGATCTCAGTCTCGCTGACAGGTTGTTCCCTGGGAGGGAATGAATCTGATGTGCACCATAGTGCTTGTGGGATCCAGTGGCTGGGTTGCATTGGTGGCATTGGATGTTGGAGGCCTGGAGAGTGTCGGGAGTGTCTAGGTTTCCAAGTGTCTCCTTTGCCTGACCCAACCTCTCTTTCATGGACCGTAGGCCTCTGTGGCATCCAGAGCGCTAGGCAGAACACCGTGTCAGCTCCCTGGGGAGGAAGGTTATCCAGGGCTACCCCAGAGGGCCTGTGACACGAGCAGAACCTAGGGGACAGTGATGCTCCTCCGGATGGTCTGTAGTGCTCCTGGCACTCTGGATAGTCTTTGTAGGAGAGCAATTGAGGTTGGAATCCTTTAGGGTTCTGCCTAGGTTTGGGGGTGAAGGCGCGATACCACAGGGCCTTTGCGGCCATTCTGTTAGCCATAGCTTGCCCTATCATACAGTGCCAAGTAGGGGTTGGAAGAAGAAGCTGGGGGTGGCTAATCAGGCCCTGAGGCCAGGGAAGGAGACATTAAAGGCACATGCAGGGACTCTGGCCCCCCCTCCTCCTTACCTAGGGGAAAACATGGTCAGAGATGCCTTTGCTGGCATTGGAACCACAGTTGGCAGAGCTGCACTATTCACCCACCTAGGCAGAGGCACTGCGACCTTAAGCCCCTTGTTCTCTGCTCACCAGCTAAAGCGTCGCATGGGGTCTTTGTCTCCTCCTCAGGGCCAATTCCCGTGGGCGACATGTCCACAATGCTGCATCCAGAGAATTCATAACGTAGCGGAAGGACAGATACACTTGAAAGGGCTTCTGGGAGTCTTCAGCATCGTCCCTCACCACCCACACGGTCACCTAGGAGAAAGGTAATTCTTCAGCTCCCTGAGTTTCTGGCGATATTCTCATCTGGTGTAGCCCTGAGCACCTGCACCACCACAGCCCTCTCGTCATGGCCGGGAGAGGCCGATCAGTGTGCCTGCAGGGTCAGCAGACTCATGCTGGTCCTGAGCGTTCCTGCATGCTGTGGGTGTTGCAGGTCCCCACCCAAGCTCTCACGCACGAGCCCCAGCAGCCAATGACCATGTCGATTGCCCCACGGCACCCTCCCAACGTGCCTGGATCGATGATGATTCCAAGTCAATCATTCCTTGGAAAAGCTGAACAAAATGAGTGACAACTCCCTACCGTCTCTCTCATCGTAACTGAGGTCCAGCACGTTGTGTCACTGAGTGCTCCAAGGGGTCACTCCCACCTTCCTCCCCCCGAGTCTCAGCAACCACACCAGCAGTCCAGTTTTGCCTGCGCCTTGCGTGTCTCCCATCCCTGGGTGCAAGCATTTGTTTTCCCTGTTGCCCTTGTGCCTACATGGGAGGATTGAGATGTAGGTCCATGCTAGCAGGCTTCCTTTTGGTTGAGCGGCCAGGGATATGAAAGCTTTGCAAGAAGAAGAGTGGCACGGCATCAAGGCAGGAACAGGAGTAGTCAGGTGAGGACTCAGGCACCATTGCACAGAAAAATCTCCAGGGATGTCACTGGCACCAAAGATCTGCAGGCAGGAAGAGCCAAGTCTGGAGTTGCTGTGAGTCACCACCCCGAGGATCACGGTGTAGGTTGACCAGTTCAGACGGCCCCACTGAGCCCTGCCAGGGTCCCTTGTCCCACACAGCTCTGAGGGCTAGGGGCCAGGCTATGAATGTTGGAAGGAAGCCCAGTGTCCCAGGGGTGCATGGGTAGTGCTTGGAATTGTCCCCACCTTTGCGCTGATTGTCATGACAGAGAAATGTCTGTCTTTGACCGAGATTAGGCAGCTGGGCCTTTTGCATCCATCTACATTTTAGTAAGACACTCAGCATCTGTGTGGACAGTCAGAGGCCGTCTATTCACGGATTCGCCTCACCGAACAACCTTGGGAATGCCATGAGCACAAGGGAGACCTGCCATTTTAGGCCTGCAGGCCGAGGACCAGGAGGTCCCCCAGACTAGAGGGTCCCCTTATTGTTCCAAGTGGTTTGACAGGCCGAACATTTGGGCCGTAGCCTCTGGGATCAGGTGGTGACAGCGATGCTCTCTCCCCTGCAGTGGCTATCAAGAGGCACGACTTCCCTCTCGGGCCATTTCTGCAAGACTCAGCTATGGTGGTTTTTCTCTAAACAGTCCCCTTACCCGAGCTCTTCTATTTATTTTTCTGACCCAGTGAGGGAGTATAGTCCTTGGCATGCCCTCGAAGCCTGTCTCTGTATACAGCCCAGTAGCCCCTGACCTCGGACACTCTGGTGTCCACTTGGCCTGGGGAACACACACGGTGATGGTGGTGCCTGCAAGCTTCCTTAGAGATTGGGAGTGGTAGCACAGTGGCTCTTAGTTTATCAGAATTCTACCGTCCAGCCTGACCAGTCAACCTGTTGGGGAATGTTTCCCTTGGAACCCAGTGGAGGTCAGACACCACTCAGAAGAGATCAGCAGGGCGTGGCTGAGGTGAGAGAGAACTCAGTCACCCTGGCTTGTTGTTCCCTGGGGCAAGAAGGAATCTGATGTGCACCATGGTGCTTGTGGTATCCATCAGAAGGGATGCATAGGTGGCATGGGATGCTGGAGGCCTGGAGAGAGTCGGGAGCATCTAGGATTCCAGGTGTCTCCTTTGCCTGGCCTGACTCCTCTTTCAGGAGCCAGAGCCCTAGTCGGGACACTGTGTCAGCTCCCTGGGGAGGAAGTTTGCCCATGGCTGCCCCAGATGGCCCGTGAACCAAGCAGATCCTAGCAGACAGTGATGGTACCCGGGCGGTCTCTTCTATTCCTGGCACTGTGGAAAGTCTTTCTCGGAGAACAATTGAGGTTGGAATCCTTTTGGAATCTGCCTAGGTTTTGGGGTAAAGGCATGATAGCACAGGTCCTTCATGGCCGTTCCGTTAGAGTTAGCTTGCCCTACTGTACAGTGCCGAGTTTGGGTTGGCGGAGGCAGCTGGGGGCACTATTCACACCCTGCGGCCAAGGAAGAAGACAGACAAGGCACACGGACAGACCTGGGTGCCACCTCTCCTCCTTTCTTGGGGAATACACAGTGACACATGCCTTTGCTGTCATTGGAATCACAGTTGGAAGAGCTGCACTATCCACACACCTAGGCAACAGGCACTGTGAGCACAAGCCCCTTGTTCTCTGGTCATCCCCTAAAGTGTCACGTGGATTCTTTGTCCCTCCTCAGGGCCAATTCCCGTTTGTGCCTTGCCCACAATGCTGCAGCCACAAAATACATAACATAGCGGAAGGATGGATACCCATGAAAGGGCTTCCGGGAGTCTTCTGCAGTGTCGCTCACCACCCACAGGGTCACATAGAAGAACGGTAAGCCTTCAGCTCCCTGAGTCCCTGGCGATATTCTCATCTGGTGTAGCCCTGAGCACCTGCACTTCCACAGTCCTGTCGTCAAGGTGGGAATGGGCCAATCAGTGTGCCTGCAGGGTCAGCAGATTTATGCTGCTCCAGAGCATTCCTGGATGCTCTGGGTCTTGCAGGTCCCTGGCCACACCATCACGTATGTGCATCATGGGCCAGTGACCATGTCGAAGGCCCGGTGGCACCTTCCCATCATGATCCCAAGTCAATCATTCCTTGGAAAAGCTGAACAAAATGAGTAAAAACTCCCTACTGTCTCTCTCCTCGTAACTGAGGTCCAGCACGTTGTGTCATTGAGTGCTCCACGGGGTCACTCCCACCTTCCTCACCCTGGGTCTCAACAACCAATCAGCGGTCCTGTCGTGCCTGTGCCTTTCTGGTCTCCCTTCCCTGGGCCCAGGTATGTGATTTCCTGTTGGGCCTTACGCATAGTTGGGAGGAAGGAGAGGAAGGGCCACTCTGGCAAGCTTGGTTTTGGTTGAGCGGCTAGGGCCAGGAGAGCTTTAGGAGAAGAAGAGTGGCACCAAGGCCTGGCCAGCCTGAGGCAGGAGGTAGGACCAGGAGTAGTAGTCAGGTGGGGTCCCAGGAACCATTGCACAGAAAAATCTCCAGGGATGTCACTTGCACCAAGAATCTGCAAGCCAGAAGGGCCAGGGCTGGAGTTGCTGCTAGGTACCACCCCAAGGCTCATGGTGTTGGTAGACCAGTTCAGGTGGCCCCACTGAGCCCTGCAGGGATCCCCTGCTGTCCCACACAGCTCTGAAGGCTAGAAGCATAGGTAGGAATGTCAGACAGAGCCTGGTGTCCCAGGGGTGCATGGCTGAGCGCTTGGATTTGTCCCCCCCCTTTGCGCTGATTTTCATCACAGGGGAGGTGTCCATCTTTGACCGAGATTAGGCAGCAGAGCCTTTCACATCCATCTACCCTTTAGTAAGACTCTCAGCACCTGTGTGGACCATCAGAGGCCATCTATTCATGGACTCACCTCACCAAACCACCTTGGGAATCCCATGAGCACAGGGAAGACATCCCATTTTAGACCTGCAGGCCAAGGTCCTGGAGGTCCCCCAGACTAGAGGTTCCCCATATTGGGCCACGTGTTTCGATAGGCCGAACATACAGGCTCTAGACTCTGGGATCAGGTGGTGACAGCGATCTTCTCTCCCCTGCAGTGGCTCACAGTAGGCACGACTTCCCTCTCAGGCCATTTTTGTAAGACTCAGCTATGGTGGTTTTTGTCTAAACAGTCCCCTTCCCATGAGCTCTTGGATTTATTTTTCTGACCCAGTGAGGGAGTATAGTCCTCAGCATGCCCTCAAGTTCTCTCTGTGCACACAGTCCAGTAGCCCCTGACTTCGGGCCTTTGTCCACCACATTGGTGTCCACTTGGCCTATGGGACACATATGGTGATGGTGGTGCCTGCAAGCTTCCTTAGGTCTTGGGAGTGGTAGCACAGTGGCTCTTAGGTTATCAGAATTCTACAGTCCAGCCTGACCAGTCGACCTGTCAGGGAAAGCTGCCCTTGGCTCCCAGTGGAGGTCAGAGATCACTCAGAAGAGGGCAGCAGGGCGTGGCTGAGGCATTGTACCCTGGGGCGAGAAGGAATCTGATGTGTACCATGGTGCTTGTGGTATCTAGCAGCAGGCATGCATTGGTGGCGTGGGATGCTGGATGCCTGGAGAGAGCCAGGAACGTCTAGGTTTCCAGGTGTCTCCTTTGCCTGGCCTGACTCCTCTTACAGCAGCCAGAGCCCTAGGCAGGACACCCTGTCAGCTCTCTGGGGAGGAAGCTTGCCCAGGGCTGTCCCAGATGGACCATGAACCAAGCAGATCCTAGTGGACAGTGATGGTGCCCTGGGTGGTCTCTTCTGCTCCTGGCACTCTGGATAGTCTTTCTGGGAGAACAATTGAGGTTGGAATCCTTTTGGAATCTTCCTAGGTTTGGGTGTCAAAGCACGATAGCACAGGGCCTTTGCAGCCGTTCTGTTAGCCATAGCTTGCCCTACCTTATAGTGCCTAGTAGGGGTTGGAGGAGGAAGCTAGGGGTCTAATCAGGCCTAGAGGCCAGGAAAGGAGACAGGAAAGTCTCACATAGGGACCCGGGCCCCTCTCTCCTTACCTAGAGGAAAACACGGTCAAAGATGCCTTTGCTGGCATTGGAACCACAGTTGGAAGTGCTACACTATTCACCCACCTAGGCAGCAGGCAATTTGACCGCAAGCCCCTTGTTCTCTGCTCACCCACTAAACCGTTGCATGGGGTCTTTGTCTCGTCCTCAGGGCCAATTCCCATAGGCGACGTGTCCACAATGCTGCAGTCAGAGAATGCGTAATGTATCGGAAGGATAGATACCCCTGAAAGGGCTTCCGGGAGTCTTCTGCAGGGTCCCTCACCTCCCACAGGGTCACCTAGGAGAACGGTAAGTCTTCGGCTCCCTGAGTGGCTGGCGATATCCTCATCTGGTGTAGCCCTGAGCACCTGCACCTCCACAGCCTTCTTGTCATGGCCTTAATGGGCCGATCAGTGTGCCAGCAGGGTCAGCGGACTCATGCTGCTCCTGAGCATTCCTGGATGCTGTGGGTGTTGCAGGTCCCCCCCACACCCTCATGCATGAGCACCAGGGGCCAATGACCATGTCAATGGCCCAGCAGCACCCTCCCAACGTGCCCAGATTGATGATGATTCCAAGTCAATCATTCCTTGGAAAAGCTGAACAAAATGAGTGAAAACTCCCTACCGTCTCTCTCATCATAACTGAGGTCCAGCACATTGTGTCACTGAGTGCTCCAAGGGGTTGCTCCCACCTTCCTCCCCCTGGGTCTCAACAACCACACCAGCTGTCCAGTTTTGCCGGCGCCTTACCAGTCTCCCTTCCCTGGGTCCAGGCATTTGTTTTCCCTGTTGGCCCTTGTGCCTACATGGGAGGATGGAGAGGTAGGTCCACGCTAGCAGGCTTCTTTTTGGTTGAGCAGCCAGGGACAGGAGAGCTTTGCGAGAAGAAGAGTGGCACCAAGGCCTGGCCAGCCCAAGGCCGGAGGCAGGACCAGGAGTATTCAGGTGGGGACCCAGGCACCATTGCACAGAAAAATCTCCAGGGATGTCACCGGCATCAAGGATCTGCAGGCAGGAAGGCCAGGGATGGAATTGCTGTGAGTCACCTCCCAGAGTCTCATGGTGTAGGTCTACCAATTCAGACAGCCCCACTGATCCCTGCAGTGGTCGCCTGCTGTCTTACACAGCTCTGAGTGCTAGAGGCCAGGGTAGGAATGTCCCACGGAAGCACAGTGTCCCAGGAGTGCATAGTTGAGCACTTGGATTTGTCCCCACCTTTGCGCTGATTGTCATAGCAGGGGAGGTATCCGTCTTTGACCAAGATTAGGCAGCTGGGCCTTTCGCATCCATCTACACTTTAGTAAGACTCTCAGCATCTGTGTGGACATACAGAAGCCGTCTATTCACAGACTCGCCTCACCAAACCACCTTGGGAATCCTATGAGCACAGGGGAGACGTCCCATATTAGGCCTGCAGGCCGAGGACCTGGACGTCCCCCAGACTAGAGGGTCCCTTTGTTGGGCCAGGGGGTTCGACAGGCCGAACATGCGGGCCGTAGCCTCCAAGAGGCATGACTTCCCTCTCAGGCCATCTCTGTAAGAGTCAGCTCTGGTGGTTTTTGTCTAAACAATCCCCTTCCCCCAAGCACTTTGAATTATTATTCTGACCCAGTGAGAGAGTATAGCCCTCGGATTGCACTCAAGGGCTCTCTCCACACAGCCCAGTAGGCCCTGACCTCGGGCCTTCGGCCACCACATTGTTGTCCACTCAGCCTGGGGACCACACACGGTGATGGTGGTGCCTGCAAGCTTCCTTAGAGATTGGGAGTGGTAGTACAGTGGCTCTTAGGTTATTAGAATTCTACAGTCCAGCCTGACCAGTCGACCTGTTTGGGAAAGTTGCCCTTGGCACCCAGTGGAGGTGAGTCACCACTCAGAAGAGATCAGCAGGGTGTGGCTGAGGTGAGAGAGAACTCCGTGGCTCATTGTTCCCTGGGGCGAGAAGGAATCTGATGTGCACCATGGTGCTTGTGGTATCCAGCAGCAGGGATGCATAGGTGGCGTGGGATGCTGGAGGCCTGGAGAGAGTTGGGACCATCTAGGTTTCCAGGTGTCTCCTTTGCCTGTCCTGACTCCTCTTTCAGGAGCCAGAGCCCTAGGCAGGACACCCTGTCAGCTCCCTAGGGAGGAATGTTGATGAGGGCTGCCCCAGATGGCCTGTGACCCAAGCAGATCCTAGAGGACATTGATGATGCCCTGGGTGGTCTCTTCTGCTCCTGGCACTGTGGATAGTCTTTCTGGGGGAACAGTTGAGGTTGGAATCCCTTTGGAATCTGCCTATGTTTGGCAGTGAAGGTGCGAAAGCACAAGCCCTTTGTGGCCGTTCCGTTAGACATAGCTTGCCCTACCATATAGTGCCGAGTTGTGGTTGGCGGAGGCAGCTGGGGGTGCTATTCAGGCCCTGAGGCCAGGGAAAGAGACAGACAAGGCGCATGCACTGACCTTGCCACCAGCTCTCTTCCTTTCCTGGAGGAATACACAGTGACAGATGCCTTTGCTGGCATTGGAACCACAGTTGGAAGAGCTGCACTATCCACACACCTAGGCAGCAGGCACTGCAAACACAAGCCCCTTGTTCTCCGGTCGCCCCCTAAAGTGTCACGTGGGAACTTTGTCTCTTCCTCAGGGCCACTTCTGTGGGATCCTTGCCCACAATGCTGCAGCCAGAGAATGTGTAACATGATGGATGGATACCCTTGATAGGGCTTCCGGGAGTCTTCTGCAGTGTCCCTCACCACCCACAGGGTCACATAGGAGAATGGTAAGCCTTCAGCTCCCTGAGTCCCTGGCAATATTCTCATCTGGTGTAGCCCTGAGCACCTGCACTTCCACAGTCCTGTCGTCATGGCCGGGATGGGCCAATCAGTGTGCCTGCAGGGTCAGCGGATTAATGCTGCTCCGGAGCGTTCCTGGATGCTCTGGGTCTTGCAGGTCCCTTGCCACACCATCATGCACGAGTACCAGGGGCCAATGACCATGTCGATGGCCTGGCGGTACCCTGCCAACGTGCCTGGATCGATGATGATTCCAAGTCAAACATTCCTTCGAAAAGCTGAATAAAATGATTGAAAACTCCCTACCATTTCTCTCATCATAATTGAGGTCCAGCACGTTGGGTCACTGAGTGCTCCACGGGGTCACTCCCACCTTCCTCCCCTGGGGTCTCAACAACCAATAAGCAGTCCCGTCGTGCCTATGACTTTCCAGTCTCCCTTCCCTGGGCCCAGGCATGTGATTTCCTGTTGGGCCTTGTGCCTAGATGGGAGGAAGGAGAGGAAGGGCCACACTGGAAGGCTTCCTTTTGGTTGAGCGGCTAGGGCCAGGAGAGCTTTAGGAGAAAAAGAGTGGCACCAAGGCAGGGCCAGCCCGAGGCCAGAGGCAGGACCGGGAGTAGCAGTCAGGTGGGGGCCGAGGAACCATTGCACAGAAAAATCTCCAGGGATGTCACTGGCATCAAGGATCTGCAGGCAGGAATGGCCAGGGCTGGAGTTGCTGCGAGGCACCACCCTGAGGCTCATGATGTTTGTATACCAGTTCAGACGGCCCCACTGAACCCTGCAGGCATTCCCTGCTGTCCCACACAGCTCTGAAGGCTAGAAACATGGGTAGGAATGTCAGAGAGAGCCCGGTGTCCCAGGGGTGCATGCCTGAGCACTTGACTTTGTCGCCGCCTGTATGCTGATTGTCACGACGGTGGAGGTGTCCGTCCTTGATTGAGGTGTGGCAGCCATGCCTGAAGCGTCCGTCTAAATGTGGGTATGTCTACCAGCGTCTGTGTGTACATTTGACAGACGTGTGTTCATGGACCTGCCTGACTGCACCACCGGGGAATCCCATGACCATGCGGGAGACCTCCCATTGGAGGCTGGCAGGCTGAGGCCAGGTTCCCTTATTTAGCCACCTGGTTCAACAGGCAGATCATGTGTGCCATCAGCACCGGGATCAGGTGGTGACAGCTATCCTCGCTCCCCTGCATTGTCCACCCACAGGCAAGAATTCCCTCTCATACCATCACTGTAAGTTTCCTCTACAGGAGTTTTTATCCAAACAGTCCCCTTCCATGTGCTCTTGGATTTTTTTTTTGTCTGACCCATTGAGGGAGTAGTGGCCTCGGTATGCCCTCCAGTCCTCTCTCCGCACACAGCCCTGTAGCCAGTGACCTCAGACCTTATTCTATTGTCCACTGGCCCTGGGGGCCACACATGGTAATGTTGGCTGCTGCAGGCTTCCTAGGAGTTTGGGACTGGTAGCTCAGTGACTCTTAGGTATTCGGAATTCTGCAGGCGAGCCTGACCAGGCACCCTTTTGGAGAAAGTTACCAGTTGCACCCAGAAGAGGACAGAGGTCTCTCGGGAGAGGTCAGAAGGATTTTCCTGAGCTCAGGGAGATCTCAGTCTCCCTGAATGGTTGTTCCCTGGGGCAGGAAGGAATCTGATGTGCACCATAGTGCTTGTGGGATCCAGTGTCAGGAATGCATTGGTGGCATTGGATGCTGGAAGCCTGGAGAGTGTCAGGAGTGTCTTGGTTTCCAGGTGTCTCCTTTGCCTGACCCAACCCCTCTTTCAGAAGCCAGAGGACTCTGGGGCATCCAGAGCCCTAGGCAGGGCACTCTGTCAGCTCCATGGGGAGGAAGACTGTCCAGGACTACCCCTGAGGGCCCGTCACCCGAGCAGAACCTAGCGGACAGTGATGGTGCTCCGTGTGGTCTGTACTGTTCCTGGCGTTCTGGATAGTCTTTGTGGGAGAGCAGTTGAGTTTGGAATCCTTTTGGATTCTGCCTAGGTTTGGGGGTGAAGGCGTGATACCACAGGGCCTTTGCGGCCATTCTGTTAGCCATAGCTTGCGCTATCTTATAGTGACGAGTAGTGGTTAGAGGAGGAAGGTCTGAGGACCTATCAGGCCCTGAGGCCAGGGAAGGAGACACGAAAGGCGCATGCAGGGACCCAGGCCCCCCTCCTCCTTACCTTGGGGAAAACACTGTCACAGATGATTTTGCTTGCATTGGAACCACAGTTGGAAGAGCTGCACTATCCACACACCTAGGCAGTAGGCACTGTGACCGCAAGTCCCTTTTTCTCTGGTCACCCACTAAAGTGTCATGTGGGGTCTTTGTCTCCTCCTCAGGGCCAATTCCTGTTGGTGTCATGCCCACAATGCTGCAGCCAGAGAATGTGTAACGTAGCGCCAGGACAGATACCCTTGTAAGGGCTTCCGGGAGTCTTCTGCAGCATCCCTCACCACCCACAGGGTCACCTAGGAGGACGGTAAGCCTTCAGCTCCCTGAGTCCCTGGCGATACTCTCACCTGGTGTAGCCCTGATCACCTGCACTGCCACAGCCCTCTCGTCATGGCCGGGATGGGCTGATCATTGTGCCTGCAGGGTTAGTGGACTCATGCTGCTCCTGAGCGTTCTTGGATGCTCTGGGTCTCGCAGGTCCCCGCCCACACCCTCACGCACGAGCACCAGGGGCCAATGACAATGTCGATGTCCCCGTAGCACCCTCCCAACATTCCTGGATCGATGATGATTCCAAGTCAATCATTCCTTGGAAAAGCTGAACAAAATGAGTGAAAACTCCCTACTGTCTTTCTCATCGTAACTGAGGTCCAGCACTTTGTGTCAATGAGTGCTCCACAGGGTCGCTCACACCTTCCTCCTCCAGGTCTCAACAACCACAGCAGCAGTCCCGTTTTGCCTGCGCCTTGCCTGTCTCGCTTCCCTGGGTCCAGCCATTTGTTTTCCCTGTTGGCCCTTGTGCCTACATTGGAGGATGGAGAGGTGGGGCCACACTAGCAGGCTTCCTTTTGGTTGAGCGGCCAGGCACAGGCGAGCTTTGCGAGAAGAAGAATTCCACCAAGGCCCTGCCAGCCCGAGGCCAGAGGCATTACCAGGAGTGTTCATGTGGGAACCCAGGCACCATTGCAAAGTAATATCTCCAGGGATGTCACTGGGAGCAAGGATCTGCAGGCAGGAAGGGCCAGGGCTACAGTTGCTGTGAGTCACCTACCCAAGGCTCACGGTGCAGGTCGACCAGTTCAGACAGCCCCACTGAGCCCTGCAGGTGTCCCCTGCTGTCCCACACAGCTCTGAGGGCTAGAGGCCAGGGTAGGAATATCAGAAGGAAGCCCAGTGTCCAAGGGGTGCATGGTTGAGCACTTGGATTTGTCCCCACATTTGCGCTGATTGTCATCGCATGGGAGGTGTCCGTGTTTGACCGAGATTAGGCAGCAGGCCTTTCGCATCCATCTATGCTTTATTAAGACTCTCAGCATCTGTGTGGACAGTCAGAGGCCATCTATTCACGGACTCGCCTCACCGAACCACCTTGGGAATCCCATGAGCACAGGGGAGACCTCCCATTTTAGGCCTGCAGGCCAAGGACCTGGAGGTCCCCGAGACTAGAGGGTCTCCTTATTGGCCTGGTGTTTTGACAGGCCAAACATGCAGGCTGTATCCTCTGGGATAAGGTGGTGACAGTGATCTTCTCTCCCCTGCAGTGTCTCCCAAGAGGCACGACTTTCCTCTCGGGCCATTTTTGTAAGACTCAGCTGTGGTGGTTTCTGTCTAAATATTTCCCTTCCTCCGAGCTCTTGGATTTATTTTTCCAACGCAGTGGGGGAGTATAGTCCTCGGCATGCCCTCGAGGCCTCTCTCCGCACACAGCCCAGTAGCCCCTGACCTCAGGCCTTTGTCCAAACAGTCCCCTTCCACGTGCTCTTGGATATTTTTTTGTCCGACCCAGTGAGGAAGTAGAGGCCTCGGCATGCCCTTCAGGCCTCTCTCTGTACACAGCCCCATAGCCAATGACCTCGGGCCTTGCTCTGATGTCCACTTGGCCTGGGGGCCATACATGGTAATGTTGGCACCTGCCAGTTTCCTCAGAGATTGGGACTGGTAGCACAGTTGCTCTTAGGTTATCGGAATTCTGCATGCCAGCCTGACAAGGCGACCTGTCGGGAAAAGTTGGCCTTGGCTCCCAGTAGAGGACAGAGGTCTCTCAGGAGAGGTCATCAGGGTGTTCCTCAGGCAAGGCAGACCTCAGTCTCCCTTACTAGTTGTTCCCTGGGGCAGGAAGGAATCTGATGTGCACCATTGTGCTTGTGGGATCCAGGGGCAGGGATTCATTGGTGACGTAGTATGCTGGAGGCCTGGAGAGTGTCAGGAGAGTCTAGTTTTCTAGGTTTCTCCTTTCTGTGGCCTGACCCCTCTTTCAAGAGCCAGAGGCCTCTGAGGCATCCAGAGCCCTAGGCAGGACACCCTGTCAGCTCCCTGGGGAGGAAGGTTGTCCAGGGCTGCCACATAGGGCCCATGACCCGATGAGATCTTAGCGGACAGGGATGGTGTACCATGTGGTCTGTCCTGCTCCTGTCGCTGTGGATAATCTTTCTGGGAGAGCACTTAAGGTTGGAATCCTTTTGGAATCTGCCTAGGTTTTGGGGTGAAGGTGTGATAGGACGGGGCCTTTGTGACCGTTCTGTTAGCGGTAGCTTGCCCTAGTGTATAGTGCTGAGTTGTGGTTTGCAGAGGCAGCTGGGGGTGCTAATCAGGCCCAGAGATCAGGGAAGGAGACAGGCAAGGCGCATGCCAGGACCCAGCCTTCCCCTCTCCCCCTTTCCTGGGGGAAAACACAGTGGCAGATGCCTTTGCTGACATTGGAACCGCAGTTGGAAGAGCGGCACTGTCCACATACCTAGGCAGCAGGCACTGCGACCCCAAGGCCCTTGTTCTCTGGTTGCCCCCTAAAGCATTGCGTGGGGTCTTTGTCTCCTCCTTAGGGCCAGTTCCTGTGGGCATCGTGCTCACAATGTTCCAGCCAGAGACTGCGGATCCTAGCGGAATGGTGGATGCCCCTTAAAGGGCTTCGGGGAGTCTTGCGCCGGGTCCCCGCCTCCCACAGTGTCACCGAGGGGGAACGGTAAGCCTTCAGCTCCCTGAATTCCTGGCAATATTCTCATCTGGTATAGCCCTGAGCACCTGTGCTTCCATAGTCCTCTCATGTAGTGGCCAGGGCGGGCCGATCTGTGTTTCTGCAGGGTCAACGGACTCATGCTGGTCCTGAGGGTTCCTGGATGCTGTGGATCTTGCAGGTCCCCACCCAAACCCTCACACACGAGCACCATGGGCCACTGACCATGTCAATGGCCCCATGGCACCCTCCCAACGTGCCCAGATCGATGATGATTCCAAGTCAATCATTCCTTGGAAAAGCTGAACAAAATGAGTGAAAACTCCCTACCGTCTCTCATCGTAACTGAGGTCCAGCACGTTGGGTCACTGAGTGCTCCACGGGGTCGTGCACACCTTCCTTCCTGGGGATTTCAACAACCTCTCCAGAGGTCACGTTGTGCCTGCACCTTGCTGGGTGTCCCTTCCCTGGGTCCAGGCATTTGTTTTCCCAGTTGTGCCATGTGCCTAGATGGCATGATGGAGAGGAAGAGCCACGCTGTGGGGCTTCCTTTCAGTTGAGCAGCCAAGGCCAGGTGAGCTTTACGAGAAGAAGAGTGGCACATGGGCTGGAGCCAGACTGAGGCCAGATACAGGACTGGGACTTGTCACATGGGGATCCCGAGACCTTTGCACAGAAAAATCCCTAGGGATGGCACCGGCACCAGGATCTCCAGGCTGGAAGGGCCAGGGCTAAAGTTCCTGTGAGCCAACTCCCCAAGCCTAGCGGTATAGACCAGTTCAGACAGCCCCACAAACCCAGCAGGGATCCCGTGCTGTCCCACACAGCTCTGAGTTCTAGAGGGCTGGGTAGGAATGTCAGACGGGAGCCCCGCGACCCAGGGGTGCATGACTGTGCGCTTGGATTTTTCCCTGCCTGTATGCTGATTGTCATGATGGGGAAGGTGTCCGTTCTTGATCGAGGTGAGGCAGCTTGCCTGTCACATCATTCTACACGTTGGTATGCCTCTTCGCATCTGTGTGGACATTTGACGGACGTGTGTTCGCAGACGTTTCTCACCACACCACCTTGGGAATCCCATGAGCATGGGGTGACCTCCCATTGGAGGCCAGCAGGCTGAGGACCAGGAGGTCCCTCAGGCTTGAGGGTCCCCTTATTGGGCCAGGTGGTTGAACAGGAGGAATATGTGGGCTGTCAGCTCCAGGATCAGGTGGTGACAGCTATCCTCTCTCCCCTGCAGTGGCCACCCAGAGGCACAATTCTCTCACAGACCATCTCTGTATCAGCTACGGGTTTTTTGTCCAAACAGTCCCCTTCCCCGAGCCCTTGGATTTTTTTTCCAACCCAGTGATTGAGTAGAGGCCTCAGCATGCCCTCCAGTCCCCTCTCCACACACAGTCCAGTAGCCGGTGACCTCGGGCCTTTGGTCACCGCTCTGGTGTCCACGTGGCCTCAGGACCCCACACGGTGATGTTGGTGCCCGTGAGCTCCCTCTTAGATCTAAGTGGTATCACAGTGGCTCTCCAGGTTATCAGAATTCTGCTTGCCAGCCTGACCAGGCAACCTATCAGGGAACGTTGCCCTTGACTCCCAGTAGATTACAGAGGGCTCTGAGGAGAGGTCAGTGGGGTGTGGCTGAGTCAAGGAAGACCTTAGTCTCCCTGGTCGATTGTGCCCTGGGTGTGAAGGAATTGGCTGTGCACCATCATGCTTGCGAGATCCACAGACAGGGACTCATTGCTGCCCTGGTGTGCTGGAGGACTGGAGAGCTTGGGAACGTATAGGTTTCTAAGTGTCTCCTTTGCATGGCCTGACCCTTCTTTCACAATCCAGAGGCCTCTCAGTCATCCGGAACCATAGGCATGACGCCCTGTCTGCTTCCTTGGAGATGAACGCTGTCCAGGGCCCAGCCCAAGGGCCCATGCCCGGAGCAGAGCCTAGTGGCCAGTGTTGTTGCCCCAGGTGGTCTGTTCTGCTCCTGGCTCTGTGGATAGTCTTTCTAGGAGAGCACTTAATGTTGGAATCCTGCTGGAATCTGCCTGGGTTTGGGGTGAAGATGCGATAGCACAGAGCCTTTGCAGTCATTCCATTAGCGGGGCTTACCCTAGCAATGAGTTCCGAGGCAGGGATGGCAGAGGTGGTGAAGTGGTGCTAGTCAGGCCCAGAGGCCAGGGAAGGAGACAGGCAATGTGCAGGCAGCCCCCCCCCCCACCTTTCCTGGGGACTATACAGGGACAGATGCCTTTTGCTGACCTGGTAACCATAGTTGCAGGAGTGCATTGTCTGCCCCCCAGACAGCAGGCACTGTGACGCCAAGCCCTTTGTGCCCTGGTCACCCACTAAAGCTTTTTGTGGGGTATTTGTCTCCTCCTTAGGGGCAGTTCCTGTGGGTGGCATGCCCACAGCAGTGCAGCCAGTTTCTGGGAATCATCGTGGAAGGGTGGATGCCCCTGGCAGGGCGTCCGGGAGTCTGGCCCAGGATCCCTCACCACCCACCGGGTCACTGAGGAGAAAGGTAAGCCCTTGGCCCCCCACGGTTCTGGCGATAGTCTCATCTGGTGCTGCCCTCTGCACCTGCAGTCTCATGTGGCCAGGGAGGGCCTGATCAATGTGCCTGGATGATCAGTGGACTCATGCTGGTCCTGAGTGTTCCTGGACACTGTGGGTCTTGCAGGTCCCCACCCACACCCTTAGGCACCAGCACCCCACCATTGCACTCCCAATGTGCCCTGATCGATGATTTTTCCAAGTCAATCTTTCCTTGGAAAAGCTTAACAAAATGAATGAAAAACTCCCTACCATCTCTCATCGTGATTGAGGTCCAGCACGTTGGGTCACTGAGACCTCCATGGGGTCATGCACACCTCCGTTCCCGGGGTCTCAACAACCATTCCAGGGACCACGTCATGCCTGTGCATTGCCTGGTCTCACTTCCCTGGGCCCAGGCGATTCTTTGCCCTGTTGTGCCATGCACCCAGATGGGAGGATGGAGAGGAAGGGCCATGCTGGCGGGCTTCTTTTCAGTTGAGCGGCCAGGGCCAGGTGAGCTTTAGGAAAAGTTGAGTGGCACAGGGGTAAGGCCAGCCTGAGGATGGAGGCAGGACCAGGACTCATCTGGGGGTGGTGCAGGCACGATTGCACAGGAAAGGACCCAGCCTAGTGTATCCCTGGGGAAGATCCTGGCACCACAGTACTGCAGGCAGGAAAGGCCAGGGCTGAAGTTGCAGGCCAACTCCCCAAGGCTTGTGGTATAGGTAGACTAATTCAGAAAGCCCCATTGGATCCAGCATGGATCCACTGCTGTCTTCCACAGCTCTTAGAGCTAGAGGCCTGGGTGGGAATGTTGGATGGGAGCCCTGCGACCCTGGGGTGGATTGTGCATAGCTGGGATTTGTCCACTCTTGTATCCCGATCCTCATGACATGGGAGGTGTCCGTCCTTGATTGACGTGAGGCAGACAGGGTGATCATTTCCATCTACATATTGGTCCGCCTCTTGGCTTCTATGTGGACATTCGGCCACCATATGGGCTCCACTGTGGGAATCCCCTGAGCATCGGGGATGTCTCCCATTGGAGGCCGGCAGGCTGAGGACCAGGAGGTCCCAGGCTACATGGTCCCGTTATTGCTCCAGGTGGTTCAGCAGACCAAACATGATGATGGTATTTTCAGTGATTAGATATTGATAGCCTCTTTCCCCTGCAGTGGCCACCCAGAAGCAGGACTTTCCTATCTGGGTTTGTCTCTGAATAGGCCACTCCTGTTTTCTTGTCCAAGTAGTCTCCTTCCCCAGGCTGATGGTTTTCTGAACTTCTGAGGGAGGAGAGACCTTGGTGCTGAGTTCAGACCACTGCCAGGGCTGATGGCAATGCCCTCTAGGCCCTGGTGCCTCAATGCTAGAATATTCAGTGTCATACCTCAGTGATTTTCCAGGTCATGGGAAATTTTTCTGCCAGCCTCATCTGGCAACCTTTCAGGGACTGTTGCCCTTGGTTCCCAGTAGAGGACAGAGGGTTCTCAGGAGAGTTCAGCAGGTCATGACTGAGGTGCCAGAGGCCAAGATCCCTGGCCGGTCATGCCCCAGGGTAGGAAGGAATCTGGTGTGTGCCACCATGCTTTCGGGAGTCCAGGTGTGTCGGGGATCCTGCCCTGATACAGGAGCCAGGGAAAGGGAGATGAGCTGTCTGCCCATTACCCACAACCTCCCTGGGAGACAATCAGACGTGACAGGGAACTCATTTATTACAGGTGTTACAGGGCTTATGAAGGCAAAAACCACAAAGGAAAATCCCCTCCCCAACCAAATGTCCAATCATATTAAAGGTGAACTTGAGCATAGAGTCTCCTATCCATAGCACAGCATAGCATTCGTGAGGTGATCACGTGCTGCCAAGATGCACGGAAATGACAGGAGCCAATTAGCAATTCTACAAAACAAGTCTGGCCATGTTCCGGCCATTTCCTCTAGGCGCCAACAAGTCTGAACACGCCCAGGCCATTTCCTCTAGGCACCATCCTGCCTCGCCCCTGGCCTCAGGCCCCCGCATCTCTCCCCCTACTTCGTTTTAAAAGTGAGGTTCCTTAAGGATAGCCCCTGGGGATGGGGCACACTGTTCCCATCCCCCTCTGCTTTTATGGCCTCCTTGTCTTAGGTCACCTCTCCTCAGGTGCTGAAGTTGCCCATCCTTGGGTAACCATGATTGCCCTCATGGCCCCTGTCTTGTGTTCATCAGTCTGGGAGGGTCTTACCCATCATTGGGACCAGCCATGCCCTTTGGCAGTTAATATACAGGGGTCTATCCCATAAGGGGGCAAAGCAACCTGGGCCCTCAGGCTAGCTCAAGCATCCATGCTTGGATTTGTCTTGAGGAGGGGCCCAAGGGGGATTGGGTGGCCAGGGCAAGTTGGAACAGGACTTTCTTCATCTGTTTCTGTCTTTCGATAATCGAGCAGAGACACCTGAGGAGAACAAAAGCTAGCACAAGCGTTAGAAATATGCTCCCATAGGTGAGTAACCAAGTTGGGTCCAAGAACCCCTTGATATGCTCCCATACCTTACTAAAAAAGGAGAAGTCTATCGATAGGACTGGGGCTCGGGTATAATTTAAAGCAATAATCTAATTGGTCAGTAATATGGAATAATTAGAAAATTCTTGGTTCCAGTCACCGTGAATATACTCCGCTATTTGTAGGCACGATTTAGTAATATTTTGAACTCTGTAAGGGGTGAGACAAAGTGACCTAAAACGAGGGTCACAAGCTAACAGAACCATGTCTTTGGTAATTGCCAGCTCTTCACTTAAGAGAAGGGCAAGAGTATAGGTGGGGATGGTACCAAGGCCCAGAGGTCCTCGGCTTTTATCTGACAGATGGCTGACAAGAGAAGGAATACCATTATGGACAGATTTTGGTCAGCCATATATTGATCAGATCTTGAATAATGATGGTAACGATATAGATGATGATGGCCAGGGCAGCAGTGGCGAGCACGGCAATGAAAGCCTTCCATCCAAAATACTCCATCCTGTAAGGCATAGAAATCCTCCTCAAAGGGCTGTTACCTTTGGGACAGGGTTATTCCTGCATCTTTAGATTCCTTGCAGGTACCCAGATGGGTTGGGGTTCATCCATGGGAAAGATGCATCCAAACCCCCTGCCCATAGTAAGGAGCAGGTCGGGTCCTCGCCATTGTCCCATTACTGGATCCTTCCATCTGACCCATACCTCTGGTCTTTGCTCCTGATGGCCCCAATGTTTTTGGAATCGAGATTCCAATTGACCGTTTTGAAAACTGAGGATATTGATGGTAAATAAGGCCGAACCTAGCTGTTGGTGGGGGCTTACTCCCCCTTTTTGTTTTTGTAATTGGGTCTTTAGGTCCTGATGGTTACGTTCTATGATAGCTTGGCCCTGGGGGTTATAGGGGATCCCTGTGTTATGGTGGATTCCCCATAAAGAGAAGAAGTCCTGTAAGCTTTTACTTATGAAGCATGGCCCATTGTCAGTTTTAATCCTTTGAGGTAATCCCAGCATAGCGAAGCACTGGAGGAAGTGAGATTGAGCATGTTTAGACTTTTCTCCTGTATGGGCGGTAGCCCAACAGGCATGTGAGAATGTGTCAATAGACATGAAAACATACTTGAGTTTTCCAAAAGGAATGTACTGTGTGACATCTGTCTGCTAAAGAGAGTTAGGCTTCAGCCCCCTAGGGTTTACCTCTGGTTGTTGGAGGGGTGGCACCTGTAGAAAGGGTTGACAAGACTTACAGGTATGTACAATTTTTCTTAAGTCTTGATAGGGACTTGAGGGAACCTCTTATGGAGTCCCCGCCAATTTACATGGGTATGATTATGCAGTTGTTGAGCTTTCTCCAGGCCTGCTGATAGGATATGGGTAGAAGCCATTTTGTCTGCCTCTGCATTGCCCTGGGAGAGGAACCCAGGCAGTCCTTGGTGGCCCCTAAGGTGTTGTAAGAAAATGTGGGCCCTTCTTTCTGTTAACAATGTTAGAACCTGGATCATTAGGGAGGTAATAAGGTTGTCATCTAGCCAAAATGAGAATTTAATAATCCGGGAGAAGGTTGACTACATATAGGCTGTCAGAGAACAAGTTCATGGGGTCATCTACTTTGGACAAGGCTAGGGAAATGGCCATGAGTTTTTAAAATTGAGCAGAGCCCTCACAAGTGTGAACGTATGTTTTTGGTTCTGTTTATACCGCCATGTAAATTACTACAGCAGCTCTGAATTTTCCTCCATCACATTATAGGCCTCTGTCAGAGGGTTTTTGACAAAAATCCTGGGGGCCCCCCAGTGGAGGGTGCAAAAGGAGGTTACCCATTTGTGAGGGCCATAATGACAGTCCAACTTTCCCAGAAAGCCTTCTAGGGCTATGACCATTCAGTTATTATTTCTGCAGAGCCATTCAAAGTCTTTTAGCCAATTAAGGGATAATAACCTTGTGGGGGTCAATGCCATAATGCCTCAGGGCTATATCCCGTCCTTTCTCAATTAGGTCAGCCAACTGGTTCATGGGTGTATATACCCGTGGAGCGCCCCCTAGGGAGGTATGCACCCATTGGAGGGACTTCCCCCCTTGTGTGAGGACGGATGTCATCAGGGCCTTGCTGGGGAGCACCCATAGTTTGAGGTCCTTTCCAGGCATATAGTGGGCCAGTTGGGCTTGGTCCAGGGCCTCCTGGAACCCCTGTAAAATGCCTAGGTGTTGTGGGTTCAGATGGATTAGCTCTGACAGCTGTTTGCCTACTAACCATTGGAACAGGGGCTCCAGTGTCTCAGTAGAGACGGGCATCCAGGACCATAGCCAATTAATCTCCCCCAATAGTTTTTGAAGTTCTATCAGGGTCATATTAAGTTTAATAGTCAGTTGTGGCTTCAAGGGACTGACCCCCTCCATGGAAAATGTAGTCCCCAGAATATTAAAGGGGGTGACAGTCTGTATTTTGTTAGCGGATACTTGAAGCCCTCCCACCTGGAGGCATTTTTGATTGGCCCTATATAGTTCTTGTAACTGGTGGGGACTTGATGTCCCCAAAATTATATCATCCATATAGGCATATACAGTAGCATGTGGCAAAGACTCTGTTGGGCTCATGAGAGCCCTTACAAAGCTCTGACAGAAAGCTGGGGTATTGGCCATGCATTGGGGCAAGTCTCTCCATTTGTACCTTTCATCAGGCATGCTAAAGTTGATGGAAGGCACAGAGAAGGTGAACTTCTCACAATCTTGGGGTTGTAGGGGAATAAAGAAAAAGCAGTCTTTGATATCTATAACTATGAGAGATAGATCTGAGGGGATAGGAGG